ATAACCATGTCATCAGCAGAGGCATCCTTAAGAGGGCTAAGATCACTGTTACCTACAGTGATGGCTGGAGTTCTGAGTGGGAGCAGAAATTTGGGCAATGGAATTGACATCTTGAAACATTTCAGCCTTCCAAACTAAATCATTATTTAAATACAGAAACAAAATGGGTAGATCCCTTTGTGGGATTTTCATAATATATTTATAATATTTCTAATAAATATACTTAGGGATCCAACCTTCACTGAGAAATAGCAGAAATCTCTCAAGTCAGAGATTTATTTTTAAAACAAAGATTCTATGTATTACCTTGGTGTCCAAGCATGGAAATGAGATGTATCTCTCCATCCCCAGTTTTCAGACAGGATAAAAGGGGTTAGTTTAACAGAGCATAACTTGCAGTCAACAGCTTCCCAAAGCAGTCAAAGCAAAATGCATGTTCTCCTTTTTAATCAGACCTTTTAATAGATAAGGATGGTTTTATGTGCACTTGGAAGTCTCTTACCCTGTGAGTTGGCCCATTCACTGTGCTTTTTCCTGGAACATGGTACTATGCAGGGTACCTATGCATATCGCAGCCTCTGCCATCATTTTTAATAAGTAGCTTATCTCTGTGATGCAACTAAAAGCAATCCTGAGTGTCTCCAGGGTTTGTTGTAAATTAATTTTATTGTTGTATTTGAAAATGTACATTCTTTTGAAAACTGGAGCAAGAAAAATGGAAAAGAGATTCTAGAAGATGATAGTCTGATATTTAGAAGGTTTTAACCCTTTCTAGTTTCCAGCTCCACAAGCTTATTTATGTTCCTCAAGTTGTTCCCAACTGTGGATAGTTGTTCCCACATGCCACTGAAGCCCTGAATATAGCAGTCAGTGTTGTTTATTAGGTAACTGCTTTATTTGCCCAAAGATTATCATTTATACCTGCAGTCAGATGCTGTGGGATCAGAGGTGCAATAATTTGTGGGTTACTAATAAGATTGTAGAAGGCCTTTTCTGAATCTTACACTTTTGCTGCTGACCTTTTCTTCTCCAAGTATTTACAGCTACAAGGGAATTACTCCAAGTCCCAGTACTGCCCATGAAGTGTTGTGGGAAAAAAGGCAGCTTACCAGCTCCCGCTCTGGACAATAAACAAATGTCACTGTTTTGAGCAGGAAACCTGCAAGTTTATCTCTGCTATTAGCTGGCATTACACTGCTGTGCCCAGGCACCACCACCCAAACCACTGAGGAGTACATGCAACTACGTTTGTGCTCACCCCTCGGGCAGTCAGTGGACTCGCTCGCAGTCTGCATTCAGGGACTGAGCTTTGCCTTGGTCACTGTGCTGGTCTCTGCTCTCTTCACAGCCCATCAGGACTGCTAATCAAGCGCTCATTGCAGTTTTCCCCCTTTGTGTTTTACTCCTGCTTGGTTTTCTTGCCACAGGATGCTGCAGATTGCTTTTAGAGATTCATAGAACAATTTTTTCCAAATCAAAATATTTCCTCCAAACAATGTCATCTTTTCTGTCTGGCACTGCTACTAATCTTTATTTAGTTATTTACTTTACGATTTCTAGAGGGATTGGATGTGCTCAAGGCACCCCTTTAAGCAACACTTTATATCAAGGTTCCATTTATAAATGCTTTATGAAGGGCTAATGAATGATTAATAGATGTTTTAATGTATGACCAATCAATTGTAGATTTTGCAATGTCGAACAGACAAGTAGGTTTCTTATAAGCATAGATTATAACCATATCTGACATATTCTATTGATGGGCTTCTAAACATCTATAACATACACACTACTCATATCTGTAACATGCTTAAAACATCTACTAATCACTGATTAATTTTTTATAACCTATTTTGAAGTGGAGCCTGTCTGCGAAGTGCATCCCTTACCAGTGTCTGTGACTCTCTGGTTCTACAGGATTGATAATTTACTCGTCATCTGAGGGCTTAAAACTACTACTCATTTCAGCTCGAACCTTAAGCTCCATCATTTTCACCTCAGTCTAGGAAAAAATGTCCCTAGTTTTGTCCCTCAAATTTCTGGCTGCAGTATCCTCCTAATATGCATTTTGCAAGTTCTACTATAGTGCAATGACTCTTAGGAGGCAAAGGGACTCTAGAATATATTTTCAGCCTCTTGAACTCAGTTAGTTTGATTATTCTCAAGGCAGCTGTCCTAGTGATGATGGTTCCTAACATTTTTATTTTTTTTTTACTGTCAGCCCTTTATTCTTGCTTCAAACTTTGTCCATTCGCAGAAGAGGATAAGAAAATAGAAACTTCCCAATAATCCAGTAGAAAAGCCACATCCCACAGGGTATTTTGTTTCTGACAGAAGAACACACATTTTGTATGTTTGATAAACACAAATGCTGATTGGAGTGTTCCCTCCTGTGGGATTCTGATAGTCTTCTAAGGTGAAAGCCATGATTGTACTCTATGCTTTCTATGGAGCACCCGGGTAGAATTGACTAAAACAGGGAGTAAAACTCATTTCCTGAAAACTTGTGAGTCCTGAAATTAATCATTCACAGTTGAAGAGCAGTAAGTTGCTCAGTATCATATTTTGCAAATGAATTTTTGTTGATTTCTACTGAACTTAATCACAAGGTTGAGTCTTCTGCTGTGATGCATCTAGCTGCTGAGACAAATTCTTTAATGACGAAAATTAAAAGGATTTGCAGGTTTTTCTTGTTTCTGGGATCATTAGTCTCTGTTCTGAATATGCCCAAGTAAATATTCCACTCCCACTCAAATCAGATTCTAATTTTTCACTGATTGCTGTTTACAGCAATACTAGGCTGCTACACCTGTGGAATTAGCACATTGAGCCTAAGGAAACACATCAAGCATAACTCATTTAAAAAATAAAAAAAAAAGAAAAGAAAGAAGAAAAGAGAATATAGGGTTCAAAAAGAGAATTTTATTCTTCAACATTAACATGGAATTCTCTCTGCTTTTTTAAAAACTATTTGTTGTCAAAGCCCCAGAAATAAGATCCTCTCAGAACTACTCAAGCTCTCAGAGCAGACAGGTTTTTATGCACATTTAAGTGGGAAAAAAAAAACCCATTAAAATAACATAAAAGTGATTGTGCAATCCCTTTTATGTTTTCCAGTTAGCACTCTGTTTCTGTGTTTATCGTGGGGTTTTATCATGATCTTTTTTCTTTTTTTTTTTTTTTTTTTTTTTTTTTTTTTTTTTTTTTTTTTTTTTTTTTTTTTTTTTTTTTTTTTTTTTTTTTTTTCAGCTGGTTAATAATCCACTAGCAAGTCAAGCAGCAGCCGCTGCAGCAGCAGCAGCCATGGGCTCCATAGCAAGCTCCCAGGCCTTTGGCAATGCCCTCTCCAGTCTTCAGGGGGTCACAGGTCAACTCGTCACTAATGCACAAGGACAGGTGAGTGGGAGATGGAGCAAACAGTGAATTCTGATGGCAGGCTGATCCTGGGACAAAAACGAGTTCCGCTGTATGACAGCAATTTAAAAGTGCACATATTGAAGATAAATAAATATTGATTTGCCAGACAAGGTAAGAAATGGAAAGTCTGAGAACTGGGAGGAAGTCAGGAACTGTTAGAAGGTGTTTTCAAGCTAGAAAAGGCTTAAGTTTTGTTTCATTTCAATTCAACCCTTTGGAAAGATCACAGTAGTGCAATACTCTGGTATTTTAAAAGTCCAGCAATCCTCTGATTCTTACCAAACATACCAGATGTCTCCTTCCACTTATATATGCCTAACAGCAGACAATTGTATCAAAGTGGTACTGTGCTACACCTTTTTGCATTTCTCTAGCATTTCTGTATTACTTCATTTCTAAAGAGGTATTAAATGTTTTAAGTAAAGGAACACAAATTGAAATGAAGTAATGGGATGGATTTAACTGGCTTTCTCATTTGCTTCTCATCTTATGTTAAGCCATTTGCAATGAATCTGCCAGCCTGTAAATGCAAAATTTGGGAGCGTTTTTTGGTTCAAAGAACATTTTCCAAACAGGAAACTTGAACGATATTGAAGTGTTAGTGAGTCTGAGAGAGAGACTGTGCGCTATCTGCATTTTGGAACTGTTTATTTGTTCAAACTATTTCAGTTTCAGTTCTAGTGTGATGCAGAAAGATATGCGTCTGAATCCATATATATATATAAATAATTCCTTTGATGCAGCGTGCCTCAGTGCCTTTGGGATTGTGACCACTGTCATTCTTTATTGCATTTACTAGGGCCAAAATTAACACAATTACTTGTTTCACTGCAACAAATCTGTCAATGTAACTTATGACTGCACCTGGTAACTGAGTAATTTGAATGTCATTATTCTAAATGCTACAAATTGGGCATACAGTGATATCCACAGTGTTTATGCGGATGTTAGGCCCTGGAAAATATTTATTGAAATGATGCAGCTTGGGTGATATGTGAATCTAAAGTTTAGTTTCTACTCTTACTGTTTACTAGTGAGAAGGAAAAAAAATAAGAGCAGCTTTTTTCACGGTAATTTTCTGTCACCATATCAGTTAATTGGAACAGGAATGATGTTTTTTATTTTGGCCCATTAAAAAATAAAAGTCAACAATTTATAGGAAAACCCCCCCCTTTTTTTTTTAACATAGCACATAAACAAAGATGCTTCCTGAGCTTCACTATCACCATACAAGTCCCAGGAAAAAAAAAAAAAAATGCTGACCTTGTTATATTTACTGGGTGGGTGCAGAATTGTTCCATCACTACCCCGAGGGTTGAACGATGGAGCTTGTCAAAGTGAGGCCTTATCTAATGAATCATCTTATCGCAGGTGCACACCACACATATTAAAGGAGGATTGTATGAACAATGTGCCCTCTACAATAACCTTTCAATGTCTACTTTAACCCTTGTTTCAATCCCTTTTCATCAAAGGATCATTTTATGCAGCCAGCTTTAAATGGAGGCTCTCAAAAGCCTATTAAGATTTCTGGAGGGATGG